ATACAAAATTACATGTATACAGCCAAACCTGTTTGGCTCAGTGGATAGAGCGTCAGCCTGTGGTCTGAAAGGTCCCAGGTTCGATTCTGGTCAAGGGCATGTACCGTGGTTGTTGGCACATCCCCAGTAGGGGATGCAGGAGGCAGCTGATTGATGTTTCTAACTCTCTATCCCTATCCCTTCCTTTCTGTAAAAGATCAATAAAATATATATTTAAAAAAAAAAACATTGCATGTATACAAATGAAGTTGTGTAGTATAAAAGCATATGCCATGGCCCTGGTGTCAAAGCTTTAACTCTGATCTCTCCCCAAGCCCCCCCCCCCCTTTTTTTTTTTTTTTTAACGGATTTCAGTGGAAGGGTGGGGGGGGGGGGGGGACATCAAGGATGAGAGAGAATCATTGATTGGCTGCCTTCTCCATGTCCTACACTGGGGATCGACAACTCGGGCCATGTGCCTTGACTGGGAATTGAACAGTGACCTGGTTCATATGTCAGTGCTCCACCACTGAGCCATGTTGGTCTGGCTCAGTGTTACTGATATTAGACTCTTAGTTCCACTGTATTTTTTTAAACTTCAACCCCACATTGTTTAAATTATTGCCTTTTTATCTATAGTCAATGTAGTTATTTTCTTTATTCATTGCTGTCTATTGCATCTTATTTCTTCAGGGTTCAGTTTTCATTTTAATGGAGTACATCCTACAGTTATGTCATTGCTAGAAAAAGAAAACATTCTGGCCGAAACCGGTTTGGCTCAATGGATAGAGTGTCTGCTTGGGGACTGAAGGGTCCCGGGTTCGATTCTGGTCAAGGGCATGTACGTTGGTTGCGGGCATATCCCCAGTAGGGGGTGTGCAAGAGGCAGCTGATCGATGACTCTCTCTCATCGATGTTTCTATCTCTCTATCTCTCTCCCTTCCTCTCTGTGCAAAATCAATAAAATATATTTTAAAAAAAAAAAGAAAGAAAAGAAAACATTCTGTTTCTATCTTCCCTCACTCTGGAATGATCGTATAATTGTAGATATTGTACCTAAAATCTTAAGTGGTGTTATGCCACTGTCTTCTAGTTCTCTTTTAGTCTACTTTTGGTTTGTTTTTCATTCCTTTAATATGTCTTTTCCCTTTGGTTGTATAGCAGGTCCTCAAATAACTATTTAATTCAACTTTATTTGTTATAACGTTGAGAAAAAACTTGTTTTTGAAGTTTGTGTATTCTTCCCATGGATTTTCTCTAGCAACTCTGGTTTCTTCTTACATCCCAAAGATGTTCATGTTAGATGAATTGGTGTGTCTTCATTGTGCTGGTCTGAGTGAATGTGGGTGTGCGCAGTCCTGTGATGAATGGGGGACATGTCCAACACTTGGGTTGAAAAGAATTCTCTTGTTTTATTCATCTTTCTTAAATTACATATAGCTCACATTTATTTCAGTGTTTAATATTACAAGTGGTTTGAGTCTTTATTTAGAATTTTGGTGATGTTTTCCTGACCAGAAATATGTCATAGGAATTTAACTCTTGCTTATGTCAATTAACTTGTGATAAAATTGGTTTTGTTGTACATCATTTCACGTAGAGTCACAGTTTCCAAGAACCTATGGACGACATTGAGAACTTGCTATAGTTGAGACTTTTTCCCCTTTGTGTGTTTTTTTAATTGATTTTAGAGAGCCGGTAAGGGGAGAAAGAAAGAAACATTTTGTTGTTCCAGTTATGTATTTATTCATTGGTTTATTCTTGTGTTTTGCCCTTAGGTGGGGGGATGGGGGGGGTGTCAAGCCTATAACCTTGGCATAACGGACAGGGCTCTAAGCTATTGAGCTACAAGGCCTCCTGTTTTGGAGTTCTCTTTCACTAGGATTTGTCCAGGCAGCAATTTATTTATTTCAGACTCTACTAAAAATCTGAAGATGTGTACCTTTCATTTGTTTTAGAAAATATGAACCCATTTTTTTTCAATTATTGCTTCTCCCATTCTCCTTAGTCCTTCCTCTGGACCTCAGATACACATTATCTTTTCATTCTTTCCATCATGTCAGTTAATCTTCCCTTCTGACCTATCTCAATTTCTTAATAACGATAAGCAAACATACTATTATTCTTTAAACTGCTACTATTATTCTTGGGATGCCAGTTCTCACATCTGTTAAATGTACTCACTCCTCCATGGTGTTTCATTGTGTAGTTCATAATTTTCATTGCAAATTTTCCTTCAGCAATCAATATCTTTTTGTATCTTGGGATATTTTCTGTGATGTTCCTTGAGCCCTGGGTTGTAGAAATTTTAACTGTAGGGTAACAGTGCTACTTTTAAATATTATTTAAAAGAACCACTTTTAGGTACATATAGTAAACTTTTCAGACAATGAGTTTCTTACATTCTTTATGGTGCAGTGGTTTCTATCATCCAAAGTAATGTTTAGATTTTTGTCTATTTAAAAAATTGAATTATCTAAAAGGTACAAATGCTTTCATAACCTTTAATTTCCTAAATATTTCCATTGTGAATGTGGATATAATCATTATTCTGCTAACTTAAAAATCAAGGAATTTCCAGTTTTTTCTACTTGTTTACTTCTCATTAGAAAATACTTTATACAGTTAACTGGATGGGAGCTCTCTTACTATTCTGTTGTTCTGTTAAGCCAGTAATTCTGGTTTTAAAATTATTTTCTCTAAATTACTTCTGTCAGCTGAAACTGGTTTGGTTCAGTATATAGAGCGTCGGCCTGCAGACTGAAGGGTCTCAAGTTCAATTCCAGTCATGGGCATGTACCTTGGTTGCAGGCACATCTCCAGTAGGGGGTATGCAGGAGGCAGCTGATTGATGTTTCTCTCTCATAGATGTTTCTAACTCTGTCCCTCTCCCTTCCTCTCTGTAAAAAAATCAATAAAATGTATATATTTTTTAAACTACATTACCTCTGTCATGTATGGATAACTTTCTGTCTCAGGAAATAATTAACATATTTTGGAAATATTATTTATTAGTACGTAATTCTTAAAACAATATTTTAAATGAAAAAGTCTGCAACCTAACATAGAGAAAACTCTTGAAAGATTATTTTTTAAATAAATTTTTCAATAGCCAGACCTTACCAATTAAATGAAGTAAAGATTTCTCCTCCATTCCCCAGAAATATTGCCACTGTTAAGTGTTTGGTCTGTATTCTTCCTGGTGTTTTCCATGCATATGCAGAGTTTAAAGTGTGCATACATGTATATTCTTTAATTCAGAGTGAATCATAATCCTATATAATAAAAGCCTAATATGCAAATCGACTGAACAGCAGAATGACTGGTGGAATGACCGGTTGCTATGACATGCACTGACCACCAGGGGGCAGACACTCACCACAGGAGCTGCCCGCAGGCCCCAGGCCATCCAAGGTGGGTGTCAGCAGGGGGCCCCTAATTGCCCCACCAGTTGCCCCAAAGAGGGAGGTGACTGGCGGCAGGGGGTGGGGCCAGAGAGCAGATGGCACCAGGCTGACCAACACGGGTGCCAGGGGGTGCTCCCTGATTACCCTGCTGGTTGCCCCTCAGATTAGTTCTGATCACCGACCAGGCCTAGGGACCCTACCCATGCACAAATTTCATGCATTGGGCCTCTAGTCCTATATAGTAACAGGCTAATATGCTAATTCGATCGAACAGCAGAATAACCTTCTGAATGAAGCCAGGGCTGTGAAGGCCAAGGCAGCCAGGGCTGCAAAGGCCGAACCCCTTGCACGAATTTCATGCATCAGGCCTCTTGTGTATGTATATATATATATATATATATATATATTTCCATATGTCTGCATGTTTTTCTGAATTGCATTTTTCAGTTAATATATCATAGACTTCTATGTCTGTACATATAGTTACCTCATTCTCTTTGGTAAGTGTATACTACATTAAGTTAACATATTATTATTTATTTAACCAATTTCTTGATATAGAAAATTAGGTTGTTTCAGTTATATTAGTATATATTTTAAATAACAAGTCTCTTTTTAATCTATACTTACAGTAGGTGTAGACTTTGCTTACCATAAGTGAATCTGTTTAAAGGGTCAAAAGCTAATTTCTCCTTATTTGAAATTGCAACTAATTCATTTGGAAGAAATGTATCATGTTCCTACTTCATGCCAGGCACTGTGCTAGGCATTGAGGATACAGAGATGAGTAAAATAGTTTTTGCTCTCAAGGACAAACTTTGGGAATGGCTCACTTCAACAGCATAAAATCATGCCATTCCTTCTTAAAGAGGGTGGTTCCTAATTCCTTGGACAAAATGTTTATTATGTGTCAATCAGAAGAACTGTTCTTTAAAAAGCCACTGTTTTCCAAAAGTCATGGTAAACGAAAACCATTATTTTCTTTAATAACATTTCATAGTTTATATAGGTAATTATGAGTATATTATGGTAATTGGGTGGTATTAATTTTGAAAACGGGTCATATTTCTGATCAGGCCATTTATTTAGCAAAGAATTGTTGAACATCACATGGACTGGGCACTGAAGTAGTCAGTGAGGATACAAAGATGATTCAGTCTCTGTCCTCAGACTTTCAACCTACATTGGGTAGGGGGGAAAATGTTTTAGATTCACAATCACTTGAGTCTTTACATAATTCTTACCAGTGGATGTTCTGTCAATTAATAACAATCAGTAAAGCATCATTTGGAAGCCAACTAGCTTCCAAACCTAATTGTTGAAATAATCTATTCTCCCCCTAGCACAGCACTCTCTTCATCACTGAATACAAGTTTTGGGGTATATGAAATAATTGAAATTTAAGGTTTCCATGTTCAGTGAAAGACTTTACTTTGGTCAAAAGGCAGATTCCAAGAAATTTCCTCTCATCCTATCTAGTACCTGTGCATGTTTTGAAGTTAAGGCTGTTACCAAATATGAGTCATTATTAAGTTTCTTTTATTTGGCTTTTTCCTTTGAGACACTTTAAAATATTGTTAGGCTATCTAAATATAATTTCTTTTTCCCCCACAGCGGGTCCATATGGAATATTTGCTGGTAGGGACGCCTCCAGAGGACTGGCGACATTTTGCCTAGATAAAGATGCACTTAAAGATGAATATGATGATCTATCAGATTTGAATGCTGTACAAATGGAAAGTGTCCGAGAATGGGAAATGCAGTTTAAAGGTACCTTCATTTCTTGGGGTTCTTTGGAAATACTCAGTCTTTGGCCAAAGAAAGTGAATGCTATTTCACATTCTTTAGAAGCCCAAGGATCCCATATGTTTTCATTATCATTATTTGATAGAGCAAATTATTGTTACATATGATTTATAAGATCTATATTTAAACATTGACTTGTTACAAACTATAAGTCTATCAAAAATTGTAATACCTTGAGTGGTATAAGGCTTGTTTATTAAGGCATAGTTTTAAAAAATATATAGGCTTATGTTTAAAACTGAGCTGGTTACTAATATTATAATTATTTAATTATAATTGATTATCTTACCATCCAGCCAAATGGGGAAAATCTCATTTCTCCTTATACCCTCGTGACATCAATTACTACCACCTATGTGACACTTTGGATCTATGTGACCTTTGGATTCTTTGGAACAGTTCTTCTAGCTTCTTGGCACTTGTACTAGTTCTACTGCATAAAGCAGTCCTATCTTATCCTCTTGGTTTGTGAGTTAATTCAATTAACATAGGTTCAAATTTCTAACCAAGAAATTACTGTGTATCACCTTGGACATAGCAATGTTCTGCATGAAACACCTGGTAACATAAAAACAAGTAATGTAGCCCTATCAGTTTTGCTCAGTGGGTCCGAAGGGTCCCAGGTTCAATTCCAGTCAAGGACATGTACATCGGTTGCAGGTTCCTACCGGGCCTAGGCCCAGATCAGGGCGAGTGCAGGAGGCAACCAATTGATGTGTTTCCCTCACATCGGTGTTTCTGTCTTTCCCTTAAAAAAAAAAAAAAAAAAAAAAAACCAGTTTGGCTCAATGGATAGAGCCTCAGCCTGCGACTGAAAGGTCCTGGGTTCAATTCCAGTCAAGGGCATGTACATTGGTTGCAGGCATATCCCGGGTAAGGGATGTGCAGGAGGCAGCTGGTTGATGTGTCCCTCTAATCGATGTTTCTAGCTCTCTCTCCCTTTCTCTCTGTAAAAAAATCAATAATATATATATTTAAATAAAAAAAATCAAAGGAAAAATATCCTCAGGTGAGAATTCAAAAAACAAGTAATGTAACAGATCTAAGAGGAGAATTTAATAGAAAAAAGAAGAGTACATTTTTATTTCATCTCAGTTCTATATAAACCCTGATATACCTATAGATTTTGAATAACTTGGAAATTCCCTCATTGCCAACTTGTTTCTTTATATTTTGGGCTATTAAGATTTAAAGAACTATTCTAAGACCCATAGTACACAAAAGAGTTAGATCAGATTAAGACTACATATCTCTCTCTAGGCCTAACCCAAGAGTCTGGATAAGTAACTCCAAGATTGGTTCTGAACATACATAATATATTTTTTTAAACTCTCTTAAGTGATTCTGATACAGTGTCCTTGATTACGAAGTGGTAGTATGGAGCACTCTCCTGCAAAGCATAATTCCCAAGTTTCATAAATTCCCTAATTCTGTTTTCTTTTATTCAAGCCTTACATGAGTACAAAGACCAGCCAAGGTGAGCAGTAGGAAAATGTAGCTTATTCTATATCATTCCAGAAGAGGCAAGTGCCTTCTGTGCTGTACAATGAAATAGTGAAACATTTTATTGCTACTGATTTTCTTTTGATGTCTTTCAGAAAAATATGATTATGTAGGCAGACTGCTAAAACCAGGAGAAGAACCGTCAGAATATACAGATGAAGAAGATACCAAGGATCACAATAAACAGGACTGAACTTTGTAAACAACTAAAGTCAGGGGCCTTCTTACTCCCTTTCACAGAATGTCCAGCGTCTTTGGGTTTGGTTTACCTGCTGCAAAAACATTCAACAGATTGTGTACAAGCTAAATGAATCTCACTATGAAGTTTTGGAAACTAGACATTATTTATGCTGCCAAACTCATTTGTTACAGTTGTTTGTAATGTCTGGTTGGGGCTTCATCATCCTGAAAAGAAGACAGGAATTATTTTTTATAGAGCAAGAAAGTTACAAGGTTGCTTTTCTTATTTTTAAAAAAAATCAAAGACAACCAGATATGTATTTGCTACTTAAGTATACAAATCTCAAAAACAACAGGGGACTCCTATTTCCTTTGCTGTGCTTTTGTTTTGGTATTGAGAGAGGGAGGAGACCTGGGCAGGAGAAGGTGGGGTGCATATCAATTTGAGTTGTTTAGACTAGCAGTCTCCAACCTTTTGGACTTTGCAGACCACCGGTTGGCGACTGCTGGTTTAGGCTACTGAAACATGCAAATGTGAATTCCCAAACTTTTATTTTTGGGTTTTGTCAGGGAAAAGGGAAAAAACAAAACTTCATTCTAAGAAATCTTTGCATATTAGGAGATAGGATTTCAATTGGATTTTAAGTTAAAGAACTCCAACAGTAAGATCATTTGAAACTAGTTTTCATCCCTTCCCTTTACCTAGATCAAATCAATATTACTTGTGCCTTATTTCACTTACATAGACTTGAATTATTTTTAGGGAAAGCCCCTATGTGAATTCAGAAGTCACTACAAGCAGCATTGAGACCGAAGTTGGAATCTTCTGTTGACCGCAAAACCTTGTCATTCTGTGTATATAGAATGTAAAAGGAATATTCAGTGTTACTGCCATATATGTTAATATACACAAACTTAATTAGCATTTTAATGGCCAAATGCATTCCCCCATGCTTTTTTCAAAAAAAGAAAAGAAAAGAAAACCAAATCAACAACTCTATCCCCCAACAGCTCCCTAATTTTAGGACTCTGACCCTCACAGCTCACTACAGTGAGTCCATGGGGCCGTAGTATGGATGTTGTATGGGTGTGTCTTAATGTGTGAGAGCGCCTTGGGAGGGATTCTGCAGATATGTAAATACCAGTACTGTTTTAATAAAGCATGTAAAATAAACCAAAATAAGCTTGAGTTGGACTTTATATTCTAACAAAGCCAGTGCATTATGTGGTAGTCAAGATTGTGCATTTGATTCAAGATGAGGAAAGGTCTTGGAAATGAAAAAGCAAAGACTGGTTAACCAAATTGTACACATTGTACCACATTCACTATAACTTTAGGAAGAAATTCCACTTTGTGGAACACTCAAGAAATCTGAGATTATTCAGGTAAGAATTGATATATATATATATATATATATATAAAATGTACATATTCTTACTTTATATTTTGATGCCAACTAATACTAGAAGTAACAGCACTCCAGGTGGTTGTTATTGGACACAAAACAATGAGGGTATTATAACAATAGGTATTAAATGCTTCTCTTGTTAGTTTGAAAAAGCTCTTATATGTCAGATATATGATTTCATCATGACTATTTGGTTCTTGGTTAGGGATAAATTACACCAAAAAAGACAAATTTCCTAAGTCATGAGTTAAAGAAAAGTCTTCTATTGCATTATGAGTATGATAAATGCTTTCAAGCCATCAAAGAAAGGGGAATTTTAATTGCAATAATAAGTGAACGTATGTAAAATACAGCAGATCCTCGAATAACATTGTTTTCACTATGAGGTTGAGGAGATGCTGTAGAAACTTAAGTGTTATTTATATCAATTAGCCTATGGTAAAACTGGTTTCATTATATGTCATTTAAAGTTGCAGAACCTATCAGTGATGTTAAGTGAGGGTTTATTGTACTACATTCTATCATATTTAGTCTTGGAATGTTTTGTAGAAAATGATGGACTTCAGCCAAATCTTAGCTGAAGACTGGTTGTAAAGATGAAGAATGCTAGTAAATGCTTTGTGTGTTTTTATGTAAAATATTTTCTAAACGGATTTGTTAAAGTATTTGTCTTCTGTATTAATATATAATATGAATATATATATATATGAATACACATATTCATATATATGTGAATCATTTGAGCCTAAAGTTCAGAAATATACACTTGTGAATACAGAAACACTAAATATTCATGCAGTGGAAATTATATAGTATGTTAAGAAAAATGAGTAATTTTGTGTTTTGGACTCAAAATAAACCATGTTCTACAGACAATTCCTCATTTTCAATTGAGTGTTTCTCATTTTCAGGCAGTGTGTTGGGCAGGTGTTGAATATGGGGAAAGGAGCTGTGATGGTATTGTTACTGTTGTTTTCCCCTTAGCCACTATTTCCCTAACTTGCCTGATTATTAGAACAATTTGGGATGCTAAAAATATAAAACCTTGAATTCTAATTAAAACCTACACCCACTGGGCTAGAATCAAAAGAGAACAGGTCTCAAGTACTGAGGCAATTCTTATAATCAGGCATGTTTGAGAAATATCACACTGATCTTTTCAAGTTATATTGTCCATCTTTGACAACCACTTAAAAGAGAAATGGAGCTTTTTCTTGGATAATTTGAGTTTGATTCCCTGTATTTCACTTTGTATCACTTCTAAAACTTCCCGAGTTAAAAATCAGTTTTACATAAAAACCTGTATGATTGAAAATTAACTTTTGCTCGGGTTTTTATATTTTGATAGCAGCTGCAGGTCTGCATGTTTCTCAGGTGAAATCTATACGTGTGTACTAGTCAGTTTCTCTCTACAAGGAAATAAACCCATTCAGATACAGGCAGATTTTTAAAACCTTGTGTGGAGTTAAGGTTATGTTTTCCTCATAGTAATTCTAGATGCTTTTAAGTTGCTTTGAGCATAGTAGAAATCAGTCAGTATTACAGTGATAGATCTTTTTTCTCCAGTGACTTAAAAGCAAAAGCTCATCGATAGCTTTTGTGTATGTTTCATAAAGGTCAGTTATCAATTTGGTAGGTGATATTAATCACAAAGATTATGATATATTTATTGTGGCAAGAGAGTTCAATTAAAGACCACCCCACCTTTCTTTACTGTTTTCAGAGAAGGCTCATCCTCAGGCAGTGTCAGAAAAGCCTGTGTCTCCTCAACACACTCCTGTGTCAGACAAGGAGACCCTGCGCTTTGCATTTGTTCTACCATCACCTGTGACAGCACATTGGGTTGCCTGTGATTACTCCATTCAAGAGAGTACTTGAAGTGCTGTGAATACTGGTTTAATCCCAAGAGATGTTTCTACCTTGCTGTGTCTGCATAGGACTCTATTATACCAAATCATGAAGTTCAATGTAAGAAGACTGATAAATGCATATTTCTTTTGAAGGCATGATTTTAATGGCTACTAGTACATGGTATTGTTCCCAAATACAATTTTGAATGAAAATGTAGGAAATTCTGCCTCCCAATATGGCAGATCTTTGTCCTCTCGGTACATTATATGAATTAACATGTTTCCAGCCTTCAATATCTGTTTCTTTGAATTTGTTACCAAATGCTTGCCATTGTTATGTATTTTAGATTTTTATAGTAGCCACAGACCACTTATGAATAAATTAAAGGAAGTTTGTTGCTTTAAAAAAAAAAATGTAGGAAATTCCATATAGGGTATAGTGTCAATTTAGCTTAAAGAAAATTGGGGGAAAGGAAAGTTTAAAAACTAAAATAACTGCTTTTGCCTAGTTATAAAAGTAATATGTTCAGAATACAGAAAAGGATTAATAAGAACCCAAAAATCAAGAGTTAAGCAAAGTTAACCTTTTCCTACATCTTTCTCCATCCCTTTTTATGTATACAGGATCATACTCTACTCGCCAAGACTTCAGACTTGAGCCATCCATCCAGTCGTGCTCCTGCTCTTGATATTCTGTCAAAGAGCTACAGGTAGGCCTTCCTACCTCCTTTCTTGTCTTATCAAATTCCAGCCTCTGTTGGCGGTTTAAATTTGACCTCGTTTCCCTGCCCACTCACCTGCTCCAGCATCCCACCGCAGCCCACTCTTATTGAGGCCCATCAAGGCCAACAGTGCCGCCTCTGCCGCCTGCTGCCACATCGCCAACACCTGCTGTGTTTTGTATCGCCCGACTCCCCCTCACCCCCTGTGGTCGGCTCATGTCATAGCAAGCAGTCAGACTCCCAGTCAAGGGGACAATTTGCATATTAGGCTTTAATTATATAGGAGGATAAATCGTTCCTTGGGCAAAGAATTTTTCAGCAACCTAAAATTTTAGCCCACACTTTATGCTATGAAAGAACTGTCTTTTTTTTTTTTTTTTTTTTAAAATATATATTTTATTGATTTTTCACAGAGAGGAAGGGAGAGAGATACAGAGTTAGAAACATCGATGAGAGAGAGTCATCGATCAGCTGCCTCTTGCACACCCCCTACTGGGAATGTGCCCGCAACCAAGGTACATGCCCTTGACCGGAATCGAACCCGGGACCTTTCAGTTCCCAAGCCGACGCTCTATCCATTGAGCCAAACCGGTTTCGGCGAAAGAACTGTCTTTTTAAAATTAAACTATGTCAAGGAATTTAAACAGTTTTTGTGCTATAAAAAAAATTGGAGCCTTAGCCATTTTGGCTCTGGATATACCATAGACCTGCAGACCGAAGGGTCCTGGGTTCAAATCCAGTCAAAGGCACATGCCTGGTTATGGGCTCAATTCCCAGTGTGGGGCATACAGGAGGCAACCAATCAGTGATTCTCTCCCTCTCCTCCTTTGTCTCTGAAATCAATCAAAATATGTTTTTTAAAGAATAAAGTTGGAAAACCAGTGGACTAAATGATCTCTAGTTCCCTGTCAGTTAATGAATATAATTCAAGGGTAGAATTGTGCTATCTTACAAATATCTAGCCATGTTGTATTACTGCAAAACACAGATTTGTCTACCTGACATCTGACTAGAGTGCAACCCAGACCTGAG